TCCCACCACTGGCCTCGCTCCCACCACCACTGGCCTTACTCCCACCACCACTGGCCTTGCTCCCACTTCCACTGGCCTTACTCCCACCACCACTGGCCTTGCTCCCACTTCCACTGGCCTTACTCCCACTGCCACGGGCCTTGCCTCCAGTCCCAGTGTCACTGGCTTTGGTCGTGACCGCTTTACCATCAGGAGAGCCACGTTCGAGGCTCAGACGGGGCCGGCGATCGGTGACCGCAAAGGGATTGGTAAGACAGCCCGCGGCACGCGCAAAGTCGTTGCCGGTGCCGAAGGGGACGATTCCGACGGCAACTTCGGGTCCGACGGCGTGGCTGCGGAGACAGTTGATCGCCCACATGAGTGTGCCATCACCGCCGGCACAGAGCAGCCTGCAGCGGACTCCGCGCTGTCGCGAGACCAGCGCTAATAACCGGAAGAGTGGCTTGGCCCCGTCCGCGCCCTGCCGGATGTCCCCGATGAACACGTGCACGCTTCCGCTCTGTGTCGCACGCGCTGCCACACACCTCTCGGCGGAGCACGCACTGTGCGCCAATGCCTGCGCCACACACTCCTCCACCGCACAGGCGTCGCGCGACTGTGCGTTTGTGCGTGTACCCTGGTGTGCGCCCATTCGTCCGCCCACTCGTTCGCCTTTATAAACGCCGCCCGGCGCTGCCACGCCGTGGGCGGGGATCCCGCCGGCCTCGTGCAAACGCAACAAACCCTCCCAGTCGAAGGTCGCGTACGCCGCGACCTCTAAGGAGTCGCCGCGCGAGGTCGCGGCGTCCGGGAGCGTCCACAAGGCCAGGGCGTCCCGCACCGAAGGCGAGTCCTCCATCATACCCAAAATCTCCCGGACCGCCCCCTGAGAGGGCTTCCGGTCGTCCGAGGAAGGCACTCCCTGGTGCCCTGGACCGTCCAAGGAAGGGGCTCCCTGGTGCCCGGGACCGTTCCTATTTGAAGGCAAATTCTTCCTGCTTGAGGATTGTTCCTTCTTGCCTGGTGGCAACTTTTCTCTTATTGATGGCAAGCTTTCCCTACTCGGTAGTAACTTCTCTCCGTCTGATGGAGGTCCTTCTCCGCTTGATGGCAATCCTTCCCTTAGCGGCAAAGGAGGCGACACACGCAGCTCGGGCTGGTCACTTACATCCTGTACTAAACAATTATCTTCCTCGCTCCCCGTCGCCAGACATATGTTGTCGAGGTGGTTGTCCTCAAGCGGCTCGCCTTCATTATTTCCTGGCTCGTTTCGTCGGTCGTGGCTGCTGCCGTTTATGGGCGACTTGGGAATTCGGATGTCCTCTGTAGGATATTCCACAGCTGGTTTTGGTGGCCTGAGTTGCAGATAGTTGAATCCTAGAGAGAGCAGTTGGGCAGCAGCACCTCCACCTGAAGAGGGGTTTACAGCCAGGAATACGAGCATTGTCGAATTATTATTTTCGGCAATGGCGTCCGGAGGTGGTATTTGGGACGGGGGTGGTTGTTGTTGGTCGCAACCAACTTCAACGGGAGATAACCCAGGTCGTCATAACAACGATGACGACCCGTTAGCGGTTACGGGCAACGCGCTAACGGGATCTACTCATACGCCCGACGATATACAAGCACTAGCCCAGGGATCTCTCATCGGCTTGGGTCCAAATGGCTTGGGTCCAAATGGCTTAGGTCAGAACGATTTGGGTCCAAGTGGCTTAGTACCAGGTGACTTAGGTCGAAGCGGTTTAGGTCCAAGTGGTTTAGGTCCAAGTGGTTTAGGTCCCAATACCCTTGGATCTAGCGCGATGGGAAGGTCAGCCGGCGACGTCCACTCGCCTCTAGCGGGACTAGACGGAGACGGTCTGTCGGCCGGTTTATCGGTCGGTCTGTCGGCGGGTCTATCGGCGAGTATGTCAACCGCAGCAGGAAGTAGCCTCACCGCTAGCGCACTCATATCTTGTATGGCATCTACCTCCGCTGACGGACCGCCCGTCGACATGTCACCGGGGCAACAGCTTACCCCGCAGCAGCAGCAACTACTCATGACGGACGGAGCGGAGGCTTCACCAGTCCTCATGGTCGCCCAACCACTGGAACCAGGAACCGGTATCTACCCTGGACCACCCATTGCGTTCGTTGACCCCCGAGGACCTCATGAAGTTTACAACCGAGTACCACTGGGGGAAAAGGGACGCATGGAACTTAAAGCTGCCATTAGGCAAGCTCTCAAAAATAAACCAGAACTTCGCGAAAAGTAAGCTCTTGCTAAAATGAATTTCAACCGAACCATTCGCAACCAACTTGGACCACGAACTGCCTCCCCGAACTACTTTCACGAACTACTTTCACGAGGTAGTTCCGACCGCTGGTTACACCAAAATGGTTTCATTTGGCTGAATGACTGCGCCCTATACTTTCACGAGACATCCTTTGGGTCGATCGGCCACTTCACGGGAGGGACTTTGGCTGGGAGGGACTTTGGCCAGGAGAGACTTTTCGGGTAGGGTCAATGCGGTGGCAAAACTTCGATGTGCGACGATTCCCCAACTTCTACGAATTGCGGCTGTAAGACACCCACTACACTTGCTGGCTTAGAGCCGTCAGCGGTACTGCCAGTCTCCCAGAAGGAGACAGGTCGGACTGGGGCGGCTGGCGCCCAGCGCCACTACTGTGTGGCCCACCAGTACTGTATGGTCAGCACTGTGTGGTCAGCGCTGTGTGGTCAAAGAAGTTGTTGTAGATATGTGACCTGTGGTTCATGGCGTTGAATATTAGCCGGCGGTTCGTGGAGACTCGGACGGGAAAGCATAAGCGACGAAACACAGGCAGTGCCACCGGCGAGAAGACGCCACGACGAAAGGTGTTAAAAGAAGACTATATAAATCCAGTGGAGCAGCAAGGTGGCGCAACGCTGCTGGACTTGGGGCCCTCTCCGCAAGGCATTGGAGGCGGTTTAGCCCTTGGAGGAGCCCCACAGGGGCTGGGACCGGGCCCGATGCTCGCGCCCGGCTTAATGGGCGGCAGTGGCCTGCCTGGAGGAGGCTGTCTGGCTGGAAGTCCCATGGCTGGAAGCCCCATGGCCGGAAACTCCCTTGGGGGAGCAACTATAAACGCAGGAGGACCCACTGTACACGCAGGAGTCGGACTCACAGGAGGACCTTCTGCCCTGGCCGGATCAGCAGCGCCGTCCGCCGGCCTCGTGTATGACAGCTCACCGAGTACTGCAACGCCTGCGAGTTCGCCGCAAGAGCTAGATCCCCACGGATGGGGTAACGGAGGCCTTTTTGAGTGGGACGGCGCTGCCCTCGCAGGGAGCGACCTCGAAGGAGCCGGAACTGGCGCTTCATTGTCCAACTTTCTGTATTTCTAGAGCCGAACACATGCTGTGCACACGCGTGTGCACACGCGTGTGCGCGGGTGCAAATTGAGCGCTGCGATCGCAGGGATGCGTTTTTGTTCTGACAACACTGGGATAGCGCCCAAAAGAGACAGCCAGACAAGAACGCGCAAGACCACACGCAAGACAGATCCTGCCTCGAAACTGTCGGCAACCGTTTCTGAGCAGGAAGGTTATAGATCTCCATTGCTGAGGGCCAGTGCGGCGACTCCGACTCGTCGTGGTCGGTTTCGGTAGATCGTATTTTTTTTATCACGATGTCTTGGTGGTGTAAATCAGCTTCGTCTATGGCGGAAACAGATGCGGTGGAGATTAAGGTTAAGACCACGTTCTCAGCCGCGGAGAATTGGGTTGACTCATGTAAAGCGAAAAGGGCGCAGAATCAGTTGCAGAAGAAAATGGTAAGCTTCGGGGGTTGCTCGTTTCAGAACGGACCACACATACACTTTCATGACGAACCTTCCACTGTTCCATACTCGGGTGTCGTTCTAGCAGTCCTAAGAGGCGCGTGGCCTAGGCTACAGGATGCACGTGGCTTGGCACTCACCATCTTATCGTTCCCTTTGCCTTTCCTTTTGTGGCCAATTGATCTTGTGGGAATGTCGTAGAACCAAAAGGCTCGTCAGAAGTTGGAGGAAGAGAGAGGGAAACTCTTGACAGAACAGAAGGCGGCTGAGGAGAAGCTGGAGAAGATCCAAAACAACCTGCATGACATTGAGCTATTGTTCCAGAAGGTAGATCAACAGGAGCGAGATATCTTGCTGGTGGAGGAGCAGATAGCGCGAGAAGAAAACGAGATAGCGGAGCGGGAGAAAAATCTGAAGATCCGTTTAAATGACATTGTCGAAATTACAGCCACACCACCTGACAGTTGCACCACAATTGCTGCAGAGTCCCCAATGTCAAATATCTTATACCGAGCTAAATCTGCCAACCATGAAATACCAAAGACGGCGCCGCCTGGAGGTTCACACCATCTCGAATCCGTCTCCAGTCCTATCGCGCAAACACCGTCTTTGAGGACATAACACCGCCAGCTTTAATAAGCATCCGGTCACTACGTCCTACCACTACGTCCTACCACTACGTCCTACCACCACGTCCTATCACCACGTCATACCTCACTAAGCTTACCCAGACCACCTTACCCAGCCCGCCACCTTATCCAGCCCGCCACCTTACCAATGAGAAGGGCAAGACAGGACTGAGAGTTAACACAGAGCTGAAAGTTTAACACGCGAAGAGGCTGTACTCGGAATTCGTGCCGACCTCCGAATTAAACTAGGGGCGGGGTGAGCGAACCTTTATCCAGGCTGATCAATTTGCACAGAGATGGGTGGACACAAAGATGGGTGGACACCAAACGCTTCAGTTGACCTAACTGAGTGTTGTCAGCCGGGGTGTTGTCAACGCCGCGTTTCGACCCGGCGACCGCGTGATTCCAACTATGCAGCCAAGAGGTAGTATCTAGATGTTGCCGTTAGACCAACATAGACCGGAACCGAGATTAAAGCTGAAACATCCAACTGAGACCACCAAGTTTAGAACCATCAAGCAGCAGTCGAAGTACAGGATTTTGAAGTACACATGAAGGATGTCTGGTATTGCATGGAGGGTGCTCTGTGACGGCCTTGGTTCTTCCGGCCATTATTTCTTGACGTCATTAATTCTTGAGGTCATTTAATTATTGACACGTGTCCCTGTGTCATTAATCCCTGTGTGCGCTTGGTGGTGCTTCATCTTTGGCTGCGGTCGACCTAATACTAAGTTTGTCCCAGTGTTTAACTTGTTTGAATCTCGGTCGTCATGGACTCGCTTCTCTCTCTTTCTCTTACAGGTCGCCTTTTTTAATAATTAAGCATGAGCTTGGTGTTGAGACCCACGTTCTGGGAAGAGGAAGAAAAATCGCTAATCCTTATCCGGAATCATGGCTATGTAACTAAGGACAATGCCGAGAAGAGGTAAGACAGAAAATAAGGAAACGTCTGAATGATGGTAACGTCTGTTCCTAGGTGCGATGAGTTCCGTGTGCTCCTTGAACTAATACCGGAGGAGTTTACAGCGGAAGATACAATGCCAGAAAAGGCGTCGATGACCAGAGAGGAGGCTCACCGTATATTTCTGGAAGATGCTAAGAGGACGTTTGCGAGTGTTGTGAGCCAAAAGATTGAGGTTGCTTGTATGGAGAAAGTGTATGAGCAATTGGGTGATTACCATCAGGGGTTATGTTTTATAGTATCATTCTTGTTGTTGTTTCTGGAGCCTGATGAGGTGTTGAAGATCTGTCATTACTTAAGTCATACTTCTAGCAACGGTTACTACAAAATTGAAAACCCGTTTTATCTTCGTGACGCGCGAGTGTTTGAATACCTGCTTCTTAATCTAAGACAGCCTCTGGGGTCGTTGCTACGGAAACGGACCGTCGTTCCCGGTCAATATTTATCGAAATGGTTCATAGGACTTGGATTACACGTACTAAACTTCTCTGCTATATACCTTTACCTAAGATTGCTACTCTGTAAACCTGATAGGGTCACTCACTTTCAAGTCGCCCTAAGCCTCATAGACAATGTTACACCTGAACTACTTCAATCCAAAAATGTTTCGGAAACCATAGAAATATTAAAGCTAGACAAATCCAAATTCCCGAATAACTCTACTCGAAGAACCATCCACTCAAAAAACCAATCAGAAGATGAAGAAACTCCGGAACCTTCACCCACTAATCAAATGACTAAGCAAGTCGACATGGACGAGGTTAACGTAATTTCGATATTCGATAAAATCATCATGGATGCTGAACACATATACTTCGACCCAGAAATGGTTCAGCAGTTCACAAACAAAGTAGAAAATGAAATGGCAGTAGAAGAAAAACGGCGTCTTGAATTCCTAGCTGCACAAGCAGATGATACTGATGAAATCGTATTCAGTGATGAAGAAGAAGAGTAGTCACACTATCCCGTCATACTTTTTTTAACTCCGCCCATAAACGTGCCTGCGCACGAGTGTGATACTACACGCGCGTGTGTGATACTACACGCGCGTGTGTGATACTACACGTGTGTGGTGCTACACGTGTGTGGTACTACCTACATTCGCATAAAGTCACGCTGGCATGTGTGGTCAGAATGCCCTGCTTGTTGTACACCATGCAGTACAAAAACCGCTGAATCATCACAACGAGTCGGCATCGGTCTTTCACCGGGGCGCCACTATTAAGAATGTCGTGTCCTACGTTTAACACTAGCCCCTCTTTGATCGTATAGTTGAACACTTTTTACTGCTCGGCGTTTCTCCTCTTTCTCGAGTGCGTGAACATTGTTGAAGCATGCTTCGAATTGACTTAGTTCTCGAGCGAACTTGACGAGGGTTGCAATCTCTTTTTCAAGGAAGATCCGTGATGTATGAAGTGCCTGAGAATTAATGCTCGCCGTTTTGGCAGCGACTTGACTGATATTCGTTGCACCAGTAACGGACGGACGTACCCGTTCAGCGTCTGTGGCGTTACATATACGCACGTGCGAATGTACTAGCACACACAGATCCCGTAAGTACTGACTCTGATGACCCAATAACTCTTTGTATGAATTCCATACCCGCCGTGTACCCTCTTCGCGCAATCCGGCAAACTCCCGATCCGATAATTGCTCCAAATTCCGCGGCAGCCGTGACCACGCCTCGCCTCCTACACTACCAGACGTCGCACCCGTCTCCATCAACGAATCCACCGCCTCGCGCACCTCCGTATCCATTACGTCCTCCAACAACCTACATGACAACTTGTCACCATCCTCTCTCTCTGACCAACACCCCTGACCACCCAACGCCCCTGACCACCCACTCTCTGTTACCACCCACCGTCCGCGACCACCGTCTGTGACCACCGTCTGTGACCACCGTCTGTGACCATCCTTTTTCCTTCCCGGCGACGACTCCCAACGACTTACCCGGT